AGGAGAAAAACTTGTTATGGTGTACGAGGCCACATTTCAAGGAGTAAAATACGCGTTAAGACCACTAAGTCCTAATTCACAATTGAATTCTAAATCATTTAAAAAAATAAAACATGAAGTAAGTAATTTATTATTTGACATTGAATTAATCACAGTATGGAAGAAACTATTGAACTTACATAATTCTGTAATTACATTTATAGCTTAAACTTTTTTACGAGATTAATGCTCCCAACATTGCTAAATTTTATGGAATTTTAAGAGGCATGACAAATAAAATTTATTATGAAAAAGGTTGAGTTTATACCTAACTATAATTTATTGGATTAGTAGACCCTCAAGTTGGTATTATATTAGTGTTACAATATGCTAATAATGGCAGCTTACGTAAATATTTGCAAAGTAAATTGCACGAAAATGTATATAAAATTTCATGGTCTGAAGTTATTCGAATAGCGAAAGGAATTGTTACTGGATTAACCTGTTTACACGCAAAAGAAATTATTCATGGATATTTAGTAAGTTAATTTTTTAAACCTTCGATTTTGATTTTTTCTATGTTAAATTATGATTTTTTTTTTCGATTTTTTTTTTTTAACTTATAAAATTTTTCTAGAATTCTAAAAATATTTTGATAAATAATGACGAAGCTCTTATTGCTGATTTTGGATTATCAAAATATCCACAGGACGATGAAAAGTCTGCAACATACGATAAAAAATCAGATATTAATCACCTTGGAATGTTATTATGGGAACTCACGAGCGGAATTACTCCGGACGATAAATTGCTTAAAATGAACCTTATTACTAATACGCCTTCAGATTATGCAGATATTTACAATAAATGTTGTGCTTCTGATCCAAACCAACGTCCAACACTTGATAAAATTGAATCTGATCTGAACTTGTTATCAACAAACGTGACAGTAGAATTTATTACAAATAATATTACAAAATATTATCAAAATACATTATCTGATAACAAGATTAGTTCATCTAAAAATTCAAACGTGGATAATCATTTTAAAGACAATAAACGTGGTTTATTTATAGTAACAAAAAATCAAAGTTATTATTAATATTTATTTTATAAAATTTTGTATTTTTTCATCAAGTTTTTACTAACATATATATTTTTTGAATCAGTTACGGATAATCAAGAAATAACCATTACCATCAGAAATAATAATAATTCAAGCAGGAGCGTTATTACTCCGACGGCTATAGGAAATATCAGGAATAATAATAATTCAAGTAGAAGCATTATTACAATATCAGGAACCGA